ACAAAAGACTCACAGCTGAAGACAATGTGCAGCAGTCAGCACCCGATCAGGGCCGATGATGGCAGCGCCGCACCAGAGTTCGTTGTTCACCAGCAATGCAGCCATAAATGGATAATCCTCAACTGATGCGCGTTCGTCAGGATTGTAGATGCGGCGGTAGCGCCTGTCCAGTGGAGGGTGGATTGGGGTTGTTTCTGGAGAATTACCGTCACATCATTCTCCTAACAAGGCTATCACAGCTTACCTCAGTGTTACCTAATGGACTGTTGTGTGAAACACTGTCATAACATAACATAAAAAAAACAAATTTAAAAGCAATCGTTCACCCAAAGGCATACAAATTTTAACTTACGAGGAGCACTAGTCGTTGTGGTGGTAGTCCGTCGAGTAGTGGCAGGGGTGACAATGGAAGAGAAGACGGGGGCGAAGTTGGAGCGGCGTTCCGGCTGGTGCATCTCAATAGGTATACCCTTGTACGAGTAGCGACGAGAATTTATGGATTGCACTGTTGAATCATACTTTATAGCATTAATCAATTCACATGAACGTGGATGGATATGCAGCTTGTGTTTTGAGATTAAAGGTGGTTTATCACCGGCGAGGTGAGACAAGAATAGAAATCTCGCCTCGCCGGCCTGTTTTTTTACCAAAAATAGCCATTTTTCAAATAGCTCGCACGAGCCATTGAGATCCATCTCGAGTGTCATGTTTCCATTGCAGAATTAAATTAACTCTATGTAGGCAGCAATAAGATTCAATATTACCTACATCATCAAATTTTTCAATTTTCGCCTCGCCCATCCTCGTCAATCCAGACCATTTTCACTAAAGATGCCCGACGATAGAATTGAAATTTTGCCATACAAATTTCTATTCTCGTCTCGCCTAGTTTAGTCTCGCCTCGCCGGTGGAAAACCACCTTAAGGGTTAAATCCAGGAGAATATTTATATTATATTGCAACTGTACCGTTAATGGGTAACTTGCCTGCTAGACGTGGCATTATTCAACGGAGAATTATCCAGCATTAAACAATACTGATTAGAAGGTGGTCCATGCATTATACCGTCAACTAACATGACTTCTATTCTATTCGAAAGTTGTGTTAACATTCGTAATCCTATTTAAAATAAACAATTTTAACGGCACAGGTTAATTATAATTACTAAGTCGTGGGTCTGGTGGTAATGACACGCCTGTCCGTAAGAGTTACCGATGCCACGAAATACCCGCAGTAGCGGGTATTATTTTTGGTATATCATTTTTGCACTCCAGAACAGCACTATAAGGCATTAGAATGCGCGAAAGAATGACACAACCATACCATACAAAGCGGTCTTTCGAGACCTATAGTTGGCACGCGTCATACACTAACTAACCACTTCTAGTGTATTTATTGTTCTGTGGTACCTAACGTAAAGCCATAGGTATATGAAACAGAAGTAAAGTTATTCTAGTACTTACAGTATCTGGATTGCCCTGGTTTTGGAACACAAGTGATAGTTTTAGTCAAAGCCAAATAATCTTTATTTTATAATAAGCCCTAGGGTGTTTATCTCATTTTATTCAAGATTATATTTTATATCTCACCTTCGTCTTCGGTGCTAGCCGATTGAACGCTCGTAATATCCTCATCGTGACAATATGTCAAAGAAAACACGTTTAGATGTAAAAAAAACAACGCCATCTTGCCACGTAAGGTCACCATCTTGAATTTTCAACACAAACTTCAATCGATTTCTCACTTCTTCACTCAAACGTGAGTAATAACCAATTTTTTTTATTAGAAAGGTAAAAATACTTTGTATATATTTCAAAATATAATAGGAAATAAAATACGAAATGCGCTGCAGTAAATATTTTTATATAGAAAAAAGTACTAAACAATAAAATAAAACTAATAACACCGGAATGAAAAACAACGACAACAGTATACCACATCAGTTTCTATGGCAGAACTAGACTAGTAGGTAGCTTTTTTTTTAGATCATTAGTAAACATATGTACGAATCTTTATGATAATAATTCACAAGTCATTAAATACCTCATATAATATACTAAAAAAAAGACAATTTCGTCGAGAATTGCGACCAGAGTCGTGATTAGACCGGCTACGTTTTTATTTTGGGTGGCTAGCTTGTTCTTTGGCGGATGTAATAATATATGATATACAGTTTCTGGTCTTTAGAGACTTCAAAGACGCGAACTGAGACTGTATATCATATGTTATTGTATGTTAACTTCAGTGTATATAGCAATTTGTTTTTAGACAAAAGTTACAACAATGTATTTAAGTGCACGTGCATATTGATTTAGAATCAATATGCACATTTAGAAATTTGCGGTCGGACCAATAAAAACAACAGAAAAAACAAAAAGTTATTTAACGTGTTTTTTGGAGTTCAATGCCATCCTTTCCATCCCAAACCACTCCAACCCCAACCACCCCATGGGTTCACAACTGGGATAACACGGACGTGCGGGACGGAGACGCCGTGGTTGATCACGCTGGAGCTGACGGAGACTGCTGACGGTAGCAGCAGGGGGTAGGCTAAAGTAAACAAATTTTTATTAACCTTCACGATTTTTTTCTAAATTATTTATTTTATTTTTTTGCCACTCATGGCCCCGCAGTAGAAAGATCATGTGTCGCGGGTGCTATTTACACACACATAAACAACCACAAATTACGCCCAAACTCACAAGAGAAATAAATGTAGACCATAAAAAATATTTCTCCCGGCTCGGGAGTTGAACCCGAGACCTCTTGTGTGGCAATCCAGGATGGTAACCGTTCGGCCACAGGGGCAGTTAAAAATGGTCAAGTTATATACTTAGTGCTTTCATAATATGTTATTGGGTAATTACACTTCAGTGCTGGACACGAGTTTGCTTTTGAACAGTCTAGGTAGGTAGGTTAGATCACTATACAAGTTGGTAAGAGCGGTGGCTACTGAGAAACAACAGAAGTTGGTTCGAGGCTAGTAAGATCGAAGGAATTTTCTTTGTGTTCGACCTTCGTAGTGGAGTATTTTCACAAAAAATATATATATGAACGGTTACCACGCAGTGTACAGTTTACATTTATTTCTCTCGTGTCCATGTCACTCGTGGTACAAGGTTCCCCTTGTTCGGGGGTATTAATGTTTGCGCTATTATTAAATGAATATTTGTGGTAGCAAAAACATCATAATTTCAATAAAATAAACATACCATAGAGAGTAAATTCTATGACGGTAAATATATTGTTTATATGGGAAGATGCGCTCACCATATCCAACGGAACCATAAGGTGCAATGGGGTTGCAGACCACCATGCCGATCAGGGCGAGAACTATTGCCACCTGCAAAAAAGGACAACAGATTGAATGAATGTTTACTATTTTTGACTCATCGAAGAGGATGAATACGTGGTGTTTTTGTTATCGCGCGAGCTTTATTTTATTAATTTGTGTTAACATTTTTTTTTTTTAACTTATGACTGATCTGTATTCTAATTTACAACTTAACTTTATTTATTATTTATTTATTTATTTATTATTTAATAGTTTATTGTACAGGAAAAATATAACAAGTCCCAAAGAATACAAGCGAAATTAAAAACAAAAGGTTCTGCATATTTCTAATAGAAATTTCTTCCTGCAGACCTAAATACAGGACACTATAACTAAAAGAACGGGCATATGTGCACAACAAAAAAAGAAAAAAATAAAATAAAAATAATATAAAAATATTAAATTGTTATAAATTATATAAATACTTAGATAAATACATATTTTATAATATAATACCTAAGATATGGACGGAATAGTAGATAAATAATGCTCCTTAACTCTCACTTTAAAAATAGCTAACGATTTACTTTCGTGAACAGTAATAGGAAGTGCATTCCAAAGTCTGACCGCATGAACAGTGAAGGAGTGAGAATAGAAACCGGAATTGAAGCATGGAAAAGATAACTGGGACCTAACAAGAGAGCGACAGGGTTTATCCTGGGACCTAAGGAAGCTGAAACGCTCTTTCAGGTACCCGGGAGACACAGGGCTATGTAAAATATTGTAACATTGTAATTGTAACATTGTTTTTGACCGACTTCAGAAACGGAGGAGGATCTCAATTCGACAGTATTTTGTTTGTATGTAAGTTACGCGATTATTTCGACAATCGTGAATCGATTTCGATGATCTTTCTTTCTTTCTTATCTATTTTTGTTGGAAAGGGGGTACTTCAGGGGGAAACTACCTATTCCAATGATCTGATGATGGAAATGCTAATTATATATATATTTACGTACTGTTGTAAATTCAGTTTGGTTTCAATTAAGTTTCAGTTTTAAAATTGAATTTAAAACAGTCGTGAACACCTAAAATATGCTCGCCTTGAAAAATTATTCGAAATGGCGCTTCCTCCCTTTCTACTAAACACCGACGATACACAAACAGAGATTAGAGCTGTGTCGATCGTGTTCGATCTAATCAAAAAGATTCGAACAGCACCTGGTACCCGATGCACCGGGCAGCTGGCCTCTAAAAGATTGATCACTTTAGAGTTTCGATTATTTTCGTTTGACCCAATTAATAACTATAAATAATTTTAGAGGTTTTTCAATAATCTACATCTGACACACTCAGTCTGTAAGCGACAATATTATCGTTGTCTCGTTCGTTCTTACTTGAAGTTCTCTCGCTCCATCTAATTAATCATGGACAGGTCCACGGAAGAAAAAAAACAATGGAAGTGCCCTAAAACTCACACATTCTTAATTTGAAATACTACAAAATCTTGATATTGATTGGTCGTCGTTTCAAATTTAAAAAGAAATAACAAATTCTGGATTGGTAATATAATTTCAATTTTACCCTGTTGGCATATCGTTGTAAGTTCAATACCTATTATTGCAAGTTACGACGTTTTGATATTATATTGAAATTTCAATCAACGTGCTGCCATCTAGAGGTTAATTGCTGAACGACGACGAATTGGAGTTATTAATTTAGTTCTCCAAAAAAGAGGCGACCACATTGCAGGCGCAAGGGGTATAAGCTTTACTTTCGTTTCTTGCAACAAAAAAATATTTCGATAAACAAAAATACTTTATTACATTAAGATTTTTTGATGATATCGGATAATATTTTTGGTGTGGCTATCATTATTGCACTCCAAAATAGCACAATCTGGCATTTTCCTAGGATTTTAGATAATTTGCAAGAAAGGATGACACAACAATACCATACAAAGCAAAAATAACGAACTGAGCTTAAGTAGGTCTTTCGAGACCTATAGTTGGCACGCGTCTGACGCGAACTAACTACTTCGACTGTATTTATTGTTCTATGGACCGGTCAACCAATCATCATATGATTAACTTTGTAAGTAGACCGACTGGCTTACCGACCGGACTGGTACGAAACGTAACTTTTTTTATTTAGTCTCGTGATCGACTAATGACCTATGGTCGAACATGTAATCGAATCATTTGACCCGATCACATTACACATGGGTCATGTTCGACCCGGTTCATTACGATTGATAGATCGTCACAGGGATTCTAACCGTCCACCTCTTTTCCCATTTAGTTAATCACTTACCGCGCACTTCATGATCGGTTTTACTATTTACTATTGTATAACAAAAGGATACTAATCGCGTTTCACCGGCCACAGCAGCATTTATACGCAGGATTGCAGGAGGTCACGCATCGGTGTAACGATACATCCTGGAAATCACAGGTGTGAAACTAGGTTTAGCAGTACAAAGTTTGAATTCTTAGGATTTCACGGACAATTTATGAACAGTAGAGCTCGTTGTGAAAGAGTTCGTCTAGGCCGCCAAAGCTATTTCTGCCGCAAAGCAGTAATGTTAGCATTACTGTGTTCCGTTTGCAAGGTGCTGGTGAAACTACAAGCGCATGAGGCTTGTCAATTGTATGTCAATGCGACGGGCGTTAGTGCTAGTTCTCCTCAGGCCTTAAAACTCTGCGTGGCACTGCAACTGCTATAGACAGACGTGTTGCTTACCACCACGCAAACGACTTGTTCGTCGCGTCACTTGCTATTATAAAAGAATGTGATTCCAAATGCTGACTTTATTATTAAATAAATAAACATCACTATTGAATATCGAGTTCTTAGGTGTTCGCGATTGTTACACATAGGAAATGAAACTATTTGGGATCCAGTATTTCTTCTAATGAAAAATCCCAAACAGATATAAGACTGCAGTACTAATTAATATGTTTTAGTTTATTCTAATTTCTCTTAATAATTAATAATAAATTGAACTTAATAAAAATTCATTCAATAAAATAATTTGTAAAACTTAATATAGCGTAAATTGGAATGTTGTATTTGTAACATTAAAAATAAGGTATTTAATTAATAACTATTGTAACTATAGTGAAAAAATAGGGTGGTTTGCATTAATATTAGACATAACTGGTTGAAGACTGTACCACCTCAGTCAACCGTGACCATGGGACCTGTAAAGGGCCCGAAACGTCGGTTTGTTTAAAAAAAAAAACAAATATACGCGATTTAAATCCGGAAAAATAGTTTCATTTCCTATCACTATTGAAATTCTCTATTTAAATTTGTCACCAAATTCACGTCGATAATCCCCGATTATTCCCAAAAATGTAAACAAGGTGCCTTAAATGATATATATTAAATTTTAAGAATTGTGCAAATTGATGTTAATCCGTTGAAATAAGTTTTTAAAACTGTATTTTCCGCCATTTGTTCTGTTTGATTTTTGTTTAGGCATGCACGTTCATTTCGTAGTTAGGGCGGTTCCGTTCCTTTATTTTTTTCCATCCTCTAAGGGCCGTATTCCAGAACTCTACTCAATACTCAAGTCAGGATTTGAGTATGGTTTAAAGCACTCGAAATCATACTGAAGTCCCTGCCATTAGGGTCGTATTTCCAGTGCTTGAAATCATACTCAAATCCTGACTTGAGCATTGAGTACAGTTCTGGTATACGACCCTAAGACTGTCGCTCATATCGACTACAACCGACTCTTGCAACTGATCACGACTACGGCAGACGCGCAGTTCATCTTTTGACAGCCTTACACGTTTGTCTAGTTAATGCCTAATCAGTCTAGCTTGAATTAGTCTTGAATTTAACTTTCGGCAAACAATTAAATACAAGAAAACATATGTAGAATGTTCTCTGAACGCTTTAACTTGGGCCTTTTTAAGGCGGGAATGAATACAGCAATATTTCCATCATCGACCTCGTCGTGACTTTTTATCATGTCAAATACGCGTTTATTTTATGTATTTAAAAAATCCTCGACTTCGACCTTGGTGAATATGTCTTAGTCAGATTAGGGATGCCATTAGAAGCAGAGTCAGCGTAATGGTGGAGCTCTATCATCAGCACGCGTCCGTACAGAACAAGTGTGATATAAACTGTCCTCAGCATGCTTGCGAGTCTATGTACCCACTAGTTTTGTTGTACAGTTCTATTGACAGACCTACTGAGGATTTTTCTCCCTCACAAGTTCTATAAAGTATTCATTCTAGTATTATACCTTTAAATGTTATTAAAATAAAATTTCCTAAAAGGTGGCGAACCCTAAGGTAGTACGTCGGGATCGTGGAAAAATCCTCTTATTAGAGACCACATGCCGTGGAGATTTTGTATGGTACATCTTTGGTTAAGCAGTATTATTCTATTCAATGTTTTCTTGAAGTATTATTTTTCTAGTGCTGGGCTGACATGTTCAATAATGATCACATACATGCCGCAATAGGGAATTTGCCTATAGATCATTCGCCCATTAGGCTGCTACTGCTTTTAAATTGTAAGAATCATAATTGTAACTTAGTTCTAACAATGTTAGATCCTTACAATTCGCGAGAACATAGCGAGGACGGTAACTTAAAAGTATAAAAATAAATAAATAATTTATTGTTTCAGAATGCATAAAAAGAATTATACATAGCAAAGAAGTCAAAACAGTACAAGTAAATTGAGACAAAAGGCATAGGCTCCGCGAAACGGCGGTGGTATCGTGCGGTTCCGCCTTTTAATCTCTGGCTACGTGGGCTTAAATCTTATATCCATACCTTATAAACTAGCTCGTAACGACAGCCAAAATAACAAATGCACATAAGGTCATACAGTTATTAGTATAATAATAATGTCTAAAGAAAGGGAAAGAAAATGCACTCATTGTGTGTACGTGTATAGTTGTGTGTATACGTGTGCGTAAGTGTTATGTCTTTTATTATTTCAGTGGTTATTTATCTTAGGGATTTATGTTAAAAGTATTATACTATTATCAAAGTTTAGAAATACAAATTATACAAACAAAGTATACAAATTTCTTACTCAACCAGGTGTAACATGCGTAATTGCCTGGAAACAAATTAAACGCATGAGTAATGTTTCTATTTTCAGCTGTATAAATTAAAGAATGTGCGTATAATTTTGTAAATTGTACACTTGCGCAGTATGTATTGCAGACTCTGAACGAAGTCCAATATAATGTGCGCATTGAATGAAATGTCAGGCAGCTTCTTGTGAAAGAGTTTGTCCAGGGAAGTACTGCCTGCCACCTTACCTATTTCTGCCGCCAAGCCGTAATCTGACCATTAGCTGCGTTCCGATTTTGAAGGGTAAGGGCGCAGTGGCAGTGCTTCTCGGGTGTTTATAAGCTCTGAGTGCAAATGTTATGGACAGGCGTGTCCCTTACAACGACGCCCACGATCTGTTCGTCCGCGCGTCCGCGCACTTTGTATCATCAGAAAAAAAAATGTCGGCGGATGCTGCGGCATTCCGGTAAAGTTTTCGGTGCACTGGCGAATGCTTGCGGTATTAAGAGGTATCCCTCATCAATGTGCGCTGGTGTGCATATAATCTTCTTCGATGGTTTCCCGCACCATAGTCATACGATATAATAAATCCAACAACAATCCAATAAACTGGTACTCAAATATCCTATATATTTGGTTCTCATTCCATTTTAAAGTGAAAGAAATATCAGTGGAAAGTATTTTTAACACAAATCCTTAATAATAATGGACTCGTTGCGGAGCCTCTAAATTGGAAGTTATTTATTTTTAAAGCAATTTCCCAACAAGTTGTTTGTTTTAATAATCTATAAGTCGTCAAGGGTTTTAGGTAAATGAAAAATAAATCTATGTAATAAATTCAACAAATAAGTTTATTGGAATATAACATTTTAGCTAATACAATAATTATATATCAAACAATCATATCAACAATGCAAAAAAAAACTTAAATCGTGTAAACGTGACTAATGTCCCATCTGAAAAGTGGCCAACATTCTAGATGTTGATTTATAAAAGTAATCTATAAAAGAAATCCAATAATGATAAATGGGAAAATTACCCTGTAACAAATCCATTTTTGAAAACCTAATACATACAAAATTCATACTACATACACGCTTCAGGGAAATCGTTAATATTTTATTAGCCCATTGATAGCACAATGGGCGAGGCTAAGGGCTCGACGTCTCGGCTATAGCAAATACAGTACTTTGGCCTAATATCTCGCATCAATCCGTATTACCAGAAAACTTGAAAGGACCTCGTCGGCGAAAACAGACATTGAACAGACCAGATCAAGGATTCCACCGACGTATAAGGGCACGGGCGTGTAAGCACAGACTACCTGGTGACATTTTAACAGGATTTTAAAACTCTGAAGTTATGACCATCAATTACCATGTAGAGGAAAAGGTTTAAAAACAAGTAGAAGTTTGCGGAGGATAATGGGTATGCGTTAACTATCAAGCTGAATATCGTAAAAAAAGATTGGACACGAGGTCAATTTTGCTAATTTCTCACATGTTTTCCTCTGCCAGGTACCATTGAAATGATGACGGTATTGGAACTGGACATCCACATTCCTTTTGCTTAACAACCAAAGTGGAAATTGTACTCATTGGACGATTAATAGCCCAGTATTTGTCTTTAATTACTTCGGACAGTTCCCTTTTGTTTGCCTGTCTATTTGTTTGTAGTGAGCGCATCACAATTATGACGTAGGCAAGTTCTTCAATCGCAACCTTTCCCTTTCTATTGCTTCCGTTTGCCACTGAAATAAAAAAGAGTTTCTTAAAAATCTTCATCCCAGGATGACATATCCTGTGGACAATTTTGTAATGTTTGGAATTTATTTATTTTGTACAACTGACACTTACAGTACTTATAACTTATATGTAAGTCGCAGTCACAAAAAAGAAATGGTTAGTAGAACTGAGAAACTTTTTCAGACTTTGCATCGTCCACAAACAAGATATGTCACCTTCAATGATATTTGAAGAGAATATTGTGGAGGTGTTACCTTCCACCTATCATAGTCGTAGTCCCAATGTGAAGTGATCCCGTCGACGGGGTTCACACGAAGCTCTATCATCCTACGGAGCTGAGCCTTTTGTGACATTGTCGACAGCGAGATTGGCAGGGGTTCATAAACTGTATATGAAAAGTTCGCTGTTACGCACGAAGTATGTGTTTACTCAGTTTGTAATACATTGTGTGGTCCATGCGAGTCGACTATAGTTCCATTTTTCTGCTGCATATCTAACGTATTTACATATTATATTACGACTAATTTCTTCCCTTCCCATTATTGTACATGATAGTAAATCCTTAGCTATCTTTAAAATGAGAGTCAAGAAGCACTATTTATCGTCAGTTCCATCCATTTTACAGATATTATAATATGAAATATGTATTTATCTAAGTATTTATACAGTCAGTAAATTACTTTTAATATTTTTGCTCTTTTTTCATTATTATTATTTTATTACACAATTTAATTTTGTTTTCACGTGCACGTAAACCCGTTCTACTACCAAATTTGCTAAACTATTCATTATTTCTATATGACCAAACCATCGAAGCATCTCCCTTTCTGACCTGGTTACTACTTTTACTTGTACTTTTTTCTTTTTCTTACGCAATATCAGACTCCTGAGCTACACTATGAAAATTTTACTATTGCACAGCGCCGATAACGAAAGGAACTACTCCTGGAGGGAGACCATTCCACATCTTGCAGGTTCGAGGAAGGAACAAACATGATGCTCGCGTGGTCTTACAATGCCGGGCATCAATGGTGTAGGGAATGGACTTTACTGCTTCGGCAGGAGGTGCGACGGTAGAATGGTGGAAACGTGACGGTGGCACTAGTTCAAAAAGTTTCTCTGAGCTCTCCCCGTTATATGGACAGCAGAACACACACATAGAGTCAACGTTTTTCCGTAGACTAAGGAACTCCAAACAGTCTCTGAGTTTGGTATCATCGACAACACGAACAGCTCGACACTGGATGGAGAATCAAATCAAACAAAAAATCAAACTCCCAAAGAAACCTGTGTCAATGACAGAATAAGTAACTTTGTTCGGAAAGCGTCAACAGATAAACTCAGCTGTGATTTTGCCTCTAGTCTAATACTTACTGTAGTAATGACTGAACATCATACACCAGAAGCCAAGCGATGTTAAAAAAAGCACCGTGCCTAGTATGAGTTTCCAGGTGCCAGTGTTATGCTGAAACTCCGCAAATGTTTGGCAGAAGGACATGCGGTATAGCGCCTTCTTCTCTTCACAACACAGTACTCGCCAATCGCATTTCTCTCTCTCCTTTATGGCCTGGAAATATAGATTCTCTCCGTGAGCACGTTAGAAACGGTTCCATCATGAAACTTAACGTGGAAACAACTTTGGTCTGCCAAATATCCAGGTGGTATTACTGATTAATGTAAGCTAGCACCGAGCTCTACCAACACCTATAGTATATCAAGAAGTTAACCATACTTGGTTTTTATTTTTTAGCTAAAAACGAGATATTTACAACTAGATCAAATGTATTTTCCTTGAATCGGATCGCAGGGAAAGGAAAAGCTGAGTCGTCCTTGTATGCATTTGTACCGTTGATACCGAAGCCCACCACCTCGCGGTTGCCCGACCGGCAGCGTCCATAGATATCTCGTATCTGCATCATAATCACACGTGTTTGGATGAGAGTATACAGTACAGACCTTCTCGAACGAGGGAGTGTAGAATATGCCAACTCAAGTTTAATATTACGTTACGTTTACACACAATGACAATTTAAACACATGAGTACTGACCTGGTTCGTCAAAGGGACGAACGGACGGTGCTGGCACACTTTTAAAGCTATGAGCATTATATTCTAAAAAAACGCCTAAGAAGTAGTTACAAAACATCCAATAAACACATAAATAATTTTATAAAAATGAAAATTGCAGTTACGACATCTAATGGATTGTTGGATTTTTGACAATTTTCTTTAATGTTGTGATTTTTATTGTCTTTGATTTAATGGATTTCCCTTAGAGGATGGAAAAAAAATAAAAGAAAAAAATAAAGGATTTCCAGAGGTTATAATCTTAGACTATGGAAACTTGTGTGAACCTTAGAGGATGGACTATGTGTGAGCCGACTAGTTAGTAAGCGCGTATGGGCCCACCATTTTTTTTTTGTTAACCCATGGGAATTTGCTTACAGATACCCCGGCCCTGCGGGGGCAGAGCCTGGGTGATTTGGGACTGGGCTGAACCCTGAAGGGGAGCAGCCCGACCGCACTAAACCCCCGGAGTGTTCCTCCTCTCCGCTGTAGGTGGGGGTACGGGTACGCTGTTGCACTCGTCCGCGCCCCCACCAGCGGCTGGCCGCGCCCTGCGCAGCCCTTCCCCGAGAAGGGAGACACATCAGTCCCGCGTATGGCCCACCAAGGTGAACCTACTTCGACCAAAATGAGAACGTCTCGTCGTCGGATTAGGTAAAAGCCAGGAGTGTAGGAAGTGGAAGAATGTCTGCCTGCTTACATGCGTGCAGGGCGTGAAGTAATTATGTATTTCTCTAAAACTTTTCTCCTAAAATATGTAAGTAAAAATAACAGGATCGCCACAAGGATCACGTTGACCACATGTAATGTTTCTTACGGTTTTACTTACATTGTTTACCAAAGTAATTTGATTTTTAGAAAAAAAAAACTTTCTTTTTTTACAAACTTTACCCATGAACTATTTGAGTATATAGAAATGTTCTGCAAGATCACGTTCATGACAACTGATGTAACAGTCACCCTTAGATTTTTTTTTATAACATCGAGAGACGAGACTTATAAGTCGTGCGCCTGATGATACGGTTGTCCATAACAGTTACAGTGCCACTTAGAGCTTTAAATTCCAAAGATCTGAGGGGCACTGCCATTGCGCCCGTCAGCCTGAGACATAAGTTGACAAGCCCCATGTGCCTGTAATTTCACCAGCACCCTTACCCTTCAAAGTCGGAACACAGTAATGTTGACATTACTGTTTGGCGGCAGAAACGATACGTCCACATTTAAGACACGTCCTGTTCATGTGTATATGGTGTACCATCACGGAATCAGTCCGTGAAGAAGCAAACGAGGATAGTTGCTCGCCGCCGCCGCCTGCGTCCGCGCCCGTACTGCATAACCGGGTTGTCACTGCTTCGGATCATCAGCGGAAAATCGATTTAAATATGTGAATTATCCTTTAGAAGGTACGAAGATGATACCAGACATACGGAGATATATTAGTCCGATGTAAGTTGCTATGGTCCTGTCATTGACTTACAAATAAATGGACGACGGGTCTAATACAAAAACTACGAAAAAAATGTCCCAAGTCAACCTATTTAAACGTAGTGACATGTAAAGGAATATGAAAAAGCTAAAACGTTGAATTTAAATTGTAATGTCATCGCAGTACTGTCTAATTTTGCTTGCTTCGCTGTCAGTCGAACAAACGAAGACTAAAGCGGGAATGACGCTCTGTATACGATTTTAACGCCCTATATGTTCGGACACTATTTAGCGCGACACTTTTTAATTGTAAGTCAATGGGTCCTGTTGAATTTTTTATAAAACGAATTCCATTGCAATATTTGCTGATGATGTTTTAGTTTTAGATCTTTCTGCGACCGTCAATTGTGGTCGTTTCATCGCGAAGTCCATACCGTTTGGTACACGGAAGAAAAAACAATGGAAGAGCCTTAAGCCTTGATAGTATCAGAAGCTGTTGCTAACACTACCATAATGGTAAACACTATGAACGCTTGATAACGATTGGCCGTAGTTTCTAAATAATAATATCAAGTTATAATATTTGTGGCGATATATATACCTTAATAGCTACTCACCTAACCAACCTACCACTTACTTCTTCATTCAAATTCCATGTACTTTCCATAACCTGTAATTCTGCTGTTCAACCTTTTCATTGGCGAAATGCGAAGGCTAAGCCATTAATAATAAAAAGAGAGAACTTTAAAATATGTTACTAATTTTGGACTGTTAATATAATTTAAACTGTATCTTGTACGTACCTTGCGTGACTGGAGTGAGACTGAAGTCAAGTGACAGAGGTCGGTGACAATCCTGTGCACTGGCTGATCTGGGGTCAGAACCTGAACTTGTAAGGTTCCTGTGCGCGCACAGGTTATAGTGTCCTTCTCGTACAGGTAAGGGTAGGTAGGGAGGGTCACTATAATCAAAACTAACGTAGAAAGATATGATGTTTGTACCTTGTTGGCATGGAGTTGGAAGTTCAAGACATAGGTGTTGAACTATTGAATATATAACCAGAAAGAGAGACGAAACGTCATATAATTTGTTTGACAACTATTCTGCCATATCATTACCGTGACAACTGCGCTGCGATTGGCTAGCCCGAGTTTGAAACAATTGACGGGTGTCGTCAATTGGTTCACTTCAAATCGACCAGTTAACTTGGGGTTTGCTATAATGGACGAAAATTACATATTTAATATTTAATTACCGATGAAATGTGATTCCGTTTGTTTTGTAGTTAGATGTTTTGCTGTTTTTCCCACACCACCGAATGGAACAGCACGCCATTGTTAGAGATATATATATATATTCTTTATTACAATAAATATAAAATATTTTTGGAATACTTGGAGACGTATACACAGCTCAGTTGTTGGCGCTGTCTATATTTCAGTGCAAACGAGAGTTGATATTTATAAGTGATGTATCACCGAAGACTTACCAGGTATGTATAGCCCTTATTTCGTCTCCATTTCGGGTTATACTCGATGTCTTATTATCACAGAAATGCTGACATTACTGCTTGGCGGCAGAAATAGGTGAGGTGGCAGTACTTCCCTGCACGAACTTTTTCACAAAGAGCTCTTAGCAAAAGTGTTTTTAGCAGTAAAACTGTGTCTTTCAGAATGGTTTTATTTGCCCAATTTAGTTTAGTTTATTTAATGCCTGTTCGGTGTTCTTCGGGTATGGTACAGTCAACATCAGGCTATACATATTTATACGCATATCGCGTTCAATGCAACGGAACAAGACCCGTTAATGTGTAGCTCAATGTGCCACCGTATGTACAATGGAACATCGACGTCGTTTGTATAAACCATTATAATCATCACTGTCATATTGTTATGTTGACTCTTCGAGTACATAACCAGAAATAGAGACGAAATAAGGGCCGTCCATACCTAGCAACTCATCACACCATCATATATCACTTTTAAATATCAACTCTCGTTTGCGGTGAAATCACAAATTAGAAAGCTGTAATAATACAGCGCCAACAACTGACCTGTGTGTAGATTGGTACGTCTCCGTATATTCTAAAAATATTCTGTATTTATTGTAATACTGTTAATATCTCTAATCAATCTCTAGATCTCTAAATCAATTTTTCAATTTTTGTCCATTGCGGCAAAGCTCAAGTTAAACTGGTCGATTTGAAGTGAAACAATTGACGACACCCGTCAATTGTTTCGAATTCGGGCTGGCCAATCGAAGCGCAGTTGTCACCGTAATGATTTAGCAGAATAGTTTTCAAACAAATTAAATGACATTTCGTCTCTATTTCTGGTTATATGCTAGATGCATTGACTACAGTTCTGACTAAAAGCTCCAATAAATAAAAACAAATTAATAAATAAAAACACTATTATTAGATCAAAGAAAAATAATTGAACGACTAGCAGCCTTGGGCGGTAAATTTTCCACATCGAGAAAAGTCGGATACCACGAAAATTTCCGAATGCTTTTGTCTGATACTGCAAGGTGCTGCTAAATAATTCAAATTTAAACTAATTATAAATGTACACACGCCAGCATATCAAGCTACACATTGACGTATCTAGTTCCGTTGCACTGGAGGCGATTTTCGAACAAAAATGTGTAGTCTGATGTGCCGTTGTCAGTACAACAAAAATCCTAACAAACAAAAATAGTTAAATCGCTTGTCTTAACACTCTAGTTAAAAAAATTAAAAATATGTTAAAAAAATATTGAGATCGTGGCGGGAAGCAGGGCAGATTCGTACACTTTTTTTTATTTTAATTTTGGGCTAGTAAAGGAAATTGTAATTATATTTTTTCTACCTAATTGATGATATAGCTGATAAACATTACGAATTTAAACTTTTTTTCAAAAATAGCATTGAATAATTGAAATATTTTGATTTTAACAAAAAATGGGCATTGTCCAATTCTGCCGCACCTGTGGGGTACTTCGATACATCGTTTGGGGCACTTAGATGTGTGAATCAACGTAGTGTGCCATTCCTGGTTGCCACGTATTATCAGCACTAGGTGATCAACTGTTCATAAAGTATGACGCTATATGTGCCTCATCACTTGCTAGATCAAGACTTCTTCCAAGGGTACCGTTTGAAAAGTGTTCTTTGAAATGTAGTCTTGGAAGTAGAAATACAGGAGGAAAGAGCTGACTATAGCGCAAAATGTCACTAGTTCACCTCTTTACAAAAACTTGTTAAAATAGTTTTACATTTTTCGTACAAAATAACTAATAGGAGAACTTTGGTACTTACCAAACTGCCCCACTCACTAGTATATAAAAGTAATATATAAATATAATATAAATATTAAAAAAGAATCTTTATATATTCTCTCAAAGTCACATGCAATTCTAGTTATTGAAAACACTAGTTTGCACTATATTAAGACATAAAACCCTGTAACGTAAACAAAATTGTAGTGGCACTCGTATTTGTGTCGCTTATTTTTTTAGTCAACGGCTGTGAAAACACTTACTGACCTGTCGAACGACAACGGCTAACTGGTGAGCTGCATTATCGCATGTCTGTTACTCGCACGTACAAAGGCACGTTTTAGTATTATCACAACTAATATTATGTTTGAAGGTATAAAGATAATGCAGGTGTATGAATGTGCCCCTTGTATCAAACTGCCCCGCTTCCCCCTACATATTTATCTTAATGGTATTTTTCTATGACAAATCTGCATCTATTTAGATTTTAGGAAAAACCAGAGGTTAATTTTAGTTTTCCATACTTATTTTTAAATTAGAGCAAGATATTTTTGTAGTTAAAAAAAATAAACAATAATTTTAGAACTGAATCCTAAGATGTAATTTTGCCCCTAAATATATACAATCACAAACACGTATAAAACATAAATTGATATGAAAAAATATAAAAAAACTCTGTCAAAATATATAAGACCATAAATTATATTAATATTATATTACTTATAACATCATAATTTCAAAATCTTCATCGGGCTGGCCATTACGACTCGTACCATCTCTGGAAGAAAACATCAATGTTTTAGGAAATTGCGTTAGTCGAGATTGGATGCTGATGCTGATAACCAAATAGCGTATCAACCGACATGATCATAGTTATGCGAAAATGACACCTAAAGACTTTTTCGTTGTTTTCGATAGTTTGTTCTAAAATTTACTTGTAAAATGTCAATTTTTATATTATCTAATTAGGAATTAAGAATTGTTGTGATTTATTATTGCTATAATTCCCCAACAACAACAAGGACAACAGCAAAAGTTTTTAATACGTACACAAGTAAATTTTAGACCAAATTATCAAAAACAACGTAAAAAACTTTAGATACCATTTTCACAAAGCCATGATCATTTTGGTTGACAACTTATGCTATCAGCAACCAATTGTGGCGATACAATGCGCAAATAATTTAATTTTCATTTTCGGCTGAACTGGGAAAGATGGTTCGTTGGTACGTGGCATCGAGTATATAATCAGAAATAGAGACAAAATGAGGGTCATCCATCCCTGGCAACTTATCAGACAAATGGGTCTTATATTCACGTTTAGATATCAACTCGCGTTTTGCGCTGAAATTAGAAATTAGAAAATTGAAATAGTACAGCGCCAACTACTGACCTGTGTGTACGTATCCGTATATTCCAAAAATATTCTTTATTTATTGTAATAAAGATAATATCTCTAACAATGGAGCAAACATTTAATTACAAAACAAACAGAATCACATTTCATCGGTAATTAAATATTAAATATGTAATTTTTAAATTTTCGTCTATTGTAGCAAAGCTCAAGTTAAACTGTTCAATTGACACTCGTCAATTGTTTCGAATTCGGGCTGGCTAATCGGAGCGCAGTAGTCGCCGTAATGATTTGGCAGAATAATTTTCAAACAAATTAATTGACATTTCGTCTCTTTCTGGTTATATGTACTCGGTGGCGCGTGGTTACCATGGTTCTGTCAAGTCGCGAAAACGATAGCTTTATCATACCTTCCATCGGTCACCATTCCATCTGCTGCTAAGGCCATCGATGGGATTGACATGTTCATCAAGCATACGTTTCAACTGCTGTTGTTGGCTATCATTGAGTAATGTCATAGGCAACGGCTCAAATACTGGGAATAATAAGAATTTTATTATCAGAAATTGAGAATTTCTTTTTTTATGATACCTATGAGGGGACGAACAAGTCGTGCGTCTGATGGTAAGCGACACTTACCCTGAGACGTAAGTTGCCAAGTCCCATGTGCCTATAATTTCACCAGCACCCTTACCCTTTAAAACCGGTACCCAGTAATGCTGACATTACTGCTTGGCGGTAGATATAGATTAGGTGGCATTACTTCCCTGGACGAACTCTTTCACAAGGAGCTCTACTGCTATTAAAATTTGTAATAGAGACTCTATTTGAAGGGATTCTGTCGCTCCATGGTAAAGAAATTTATTTATTTATTATGGAAAGCAATGGCCCCTTATATAATGCCATCCGATTTAGTAGCAGTAGGCCTCCTTGTGAAAGGGTTCGTCCAGCTTTGCGATTAAAGCTCTCAGTGGCATTGCAACTGTTATGCGTAGATGTGTCGCTTACCATCAGGCGCAGGACTCGTTCGTCCTCTCACTTGATATTATAAAAAACCTAAAAAAATAAACGAAAAATTGAAAAAAAGGAATTTTTCCGAGTGGAATAATGTAAAAAGAACTATTGTTTTCCAATCTTCTAAATGGTCATCTTGAATCCGGGTCTGAGGAAATATCGTTAAAAGTTTCAAGTTTGAAGTCGTGAAACCAATACTGAAAATCTCAAGAACAATATTTGTCTACATAATGTCTTACCATAATAGTAGAAGAACATTACTAGCCAAAACGCCCACGAAGTAAGAAAAAGTATAACTCCAATAATCAATTTCCACTGCCCCGTAGGGTGCTGGAACTCGGAAAAGGTTTGGCAGAACGATGAGCGGTACAGCTGTTTTTTCTGCTCTTTGGTTAAGTGCCTCCAGTCACCTTTTTCTAATTCCCGTATTGCCTAGAATAAACAAAGAAACAGACACCTTCAATAAAGAATCACGTTATACTTAAAACCTCGCCATGTTCAGGGATTTTTAGAGACCACTTGTTTATGACGAACTAGGTGGCTGAGCAGTTAGTACCGTGGGTTCCAGGTCAGGGTGTCGATTCGTGGTAGGAGCGATTTGGAAACGACCCTTTCTAATTTTTTTATTTTTATTATTTGATTTGAATGTTATGCGTAGTGCCCTCAGTGAATTTAGCAGCTCAGCAGAGTACCTACTCGTAATGCAGAAAATTCTTACTTTCCATTGTCGTCAGTAGGCCACGGGTCATAACGGGCCAAAGCCTTGCTACAGCCTCACAAAGGCATTCCAAAATGTCAACCTTATTTTTATCTAATTAATTATGTTATTTGTTAATGATCGCAGTCATGCTGAGTTAACAGATAAATAACAATGGCGAAAATTTTTGGTGATATAATTTGTATGCGTCTGTTTATGAAAAGTATTTGAAAATATAGAGTGAACTTTGCTACTGAATCACTTTAAGCAGTACTGAAATCATAGATATATGATGTTTATTTAATTATCCTGAATTTGTTGATGAGGAAGTGCACTTACAGCGATACTTGGATTCGTTTCCTGAAACCTGATAGAAGGAAACGGAAAATGTGCATCGTCCTTATACGCTGCAGTGCCATTACATCCGAAACCCACAACATCTCTGGTGCCTATTCTGCATGTACCATGAATTCTTCTCCGACTCCACTTGACTAGCTCCATTGTTTTTAAGCCTAACTTTGGGCAAATTTTGGGAGCCATCATTAAAGCAAGAGCCATCACTGTTCTCTTAAAAGTAAACAATTTAATAAAATAATAGTGTAAACAATAATTATCCCGTCTTGCAAAACAACTTTGTTGTTTGGAACCAACAAATGGTATAAACTGAAAATATTTTCCAATCTCGTTGGCTTTGGCTTAGAGAATGGAGGTCTCCATAGATATCACAGGTTTAGAATCATTTTGAATATGTATTGTTGGCGAAGAAGCAAGTTGTTTTGGTAAACAACTGACGTGGGTATACAAGCTGTTGGGTGCTCTTCTATAAATGAAATAAATCTTTTCGTACAATAAGCATTTTATTATTACTTTAAACAGATAACGCCATTTTATCCACGTGTCAACAAAAAGAACAACGTAAATTTTCAAAGCGTAAAGGCAGAGTCAACTTTATATTCAACACTCCAATCAATACAGATTAACTTTTAACAAGTTACGAAAATTTGTAAATTTGTCAATAGGTAAAGATTTTGTTAACATGTCTGCTAAATTGTCATTGCTATTAACGTAGGTAACAGTTATTACATTATTTTTAATCAAATCTTTAATAAAATGATATCGAATATAAATATGTTTTGATCTCTTACTACTTTCAAAACTTTTAGTAATACAAATGGCTCCAATATTGTCCATCTTAATATTAGGAATCACGTTACATCCACAATCCATAGAAAGATCTTTTATATTTTGTAACTAACTAGCAGTAGTGGCGGCCGCAATATACTCCGCCTCGGCGGTCGACAACGTTATACAATTTTATTTACGTGAAAAACAAGATATCACCTTATGCCAATGTAATCATAGCTTTAAGTTTAAATTGTATACTTTAGTCATTTTACTAGAGCTTGTCGAGGCACGTCAGAATTATTATATTATTAATCTTATTAATTATCTAGACTGATAATATTATCACCAGTGTTCTTATAACACAGTCCATGATTTTGAGTATGTTTTAAGTAACGAACCATTCTTGTCGCGCTTTTCCATGTACTCTCATTAGGTTTATCCAAAAATTGACTTCGGTAGGATACTGCAAAACTGATATCAGGACGTGACACAGTTGCTATGAACATTAAATTGCCAATTAATTCTCTGTACGGTACATCTGCTACTTTGCCGTTTATTATTTGTAAATCTTTTTCTATTGGAGTCTTTATACCGTTACATTCTCTCATATTGAAGTTTTCTAAAATTTTATCAATCTGTTTCTTTTGGTTTAACTTTAGTCCATTTTCTTACTTATTAATCTCCATTCCTACGAACTTTTTTATTTCTCCTAAATCTTTTGTTTTAAATCCTCTTTGCAGTTTTTGTTTGAGATCTTGTACAGCTGTCTCTTCTCTCATTAAAAGCATGTCATCAACAAACACTAAAAGCCAAATTTGATTGCCATGGTATAAGCAAAAATCGTATTTTGATAGTGTAAGACCTGCTTTCATCACAAAATCATTAAAACACTCATTCCAGCATTTCGGACTTTCCTTTAAACCGTATAAACTTCTGTTTAATTTCAGTATTTGGTTTTACTTCATTTTGTCTCTTAATCCTTATGGTACGTTGATATATATATCAGATTTCTATTTTCCATTTAGAAAAGCTGTAGGTACATCCAATTGGTGTATTTTTAAATTTTTATCAACAGATTGAGCCAGAAACATTCTCACAGTACTCATTCGTGCTCCTGGAGAATAATTAGTTATTAAATAACTATCTTCTTTAACTTGGAAAGCTTTAGCTACTAATCGTGCCTTTTTAGTTCCATTGTTTTTGGTAGTAAATACCCATTTCGTATCTATAGCTCGTTTTCCATCTGGTAAATTTGTAGGAGTCCATGTATTTAATTTCTCCAAAGAATTGATTTTACTTTCAATTGCTGTTTTCCAATCATCTGGTTTGACTGCTTCTTTGTATGATGTAGGATCATCGTCGTTATGACTCAATAAACAATAAGCAACTTATAACTTGTAATCATGGAATTGTTTCGGTGATTTTACTATACGTCCAGATCGAGTAGTGGTAGAAATTTAAATATTATTAATCTCTTCACTAGATAAGTAAGTATCGGGATCGTCGTCATCATCAGGTAAGTTTTCCTCTTTATTATTACCATAGTTTCTTTCTGTAATGTTTTCTTTTTCTACACTCTGTTGTGCATTTATTTTGTTATAATTTTCGTAATTTATCACTATTATATAATCTTCACTAGATTCTCTTTCATTATTACTCTTAATGTATCTTGTTGTGCTCTCATCGAAAATTACATTAGTAGAAATAATTATTTTATTTGTTTCAGGATCCCAGAATCTATAGCCGGAACCACAATAGCCAATCATATGCATAGGTCTTGCTCTTGATTGCAGTTTATTTGGCTTTGGCAATGTCACTCACCAGGCTTTTGAACCAAATACTTTAAATTTATTAAGTTGACTTCTTCCATACCAAACCATTGCTGGTGATTTGTTAAATAAAGAATTTGTTGGGCACCTATTTAACTCGTATACTGAACAACAAATGGCTTCTCCCCATAGTTCTTTAGGTAGATTTGTCTCCGCAAATTTTGTACGAACTTTATCCATCAATGTACGATTCATACGTTCACTTTTTCCGTTTGTTGGGGACTATAAGGCAGTATACTGTATTTCAATTCCTTTTGATGCACATAATTCCTTGAACTTTCGAAAAGTAAATTCCCCTTCTTTTTCAAGTCGAAGTCTTTTTGTATAGTTACCAAATTGTGTCTTTATATATTTTATGAGATTTATTATATTCTGCTCAGCTTCATTTTTATTTATTAGTAATTTGACAACAACATAGTGGGAGTATTCATCTATTAATACCTGAAAATGTCTCTCCCCATTCACACTTGTAGGAGTAATTGGCACACAAATGTCCGAGTGTATCAAATCTCCGATCTGTCGACTTTCTCTTTTTCTAAATTTTTGTGTAATAAAAGACCTTCTAGTCGATTTACCTTCAATGCAGCTTTCACATCTTTCGTTTGACGTAGGTAGTCCCAATATTCGGAGATCTTTCTTATTCAAATGTCCTAAACGTCTGTGCCAAAGCATCTTATTATTTGTCGCAAAATATGCACACTCTTTTTGTAAAATAAATTCAATGACATATAGGTTATCAAATTGTGGATCTTCTAAATATTTTCTACCTTTCATAATTTTTACATTTTTCTCATTAAAGTTGACATTGTTCTTAGTTATCTCGCTTACAGACAATAAGTTGTGACTTAATTTGTCCACAATAATCGCTTCGATATCCATTTCCTTTTAATAAACCTTTCTTGTTTGCAGATAAAACTTCAGCATTAGCTATGTGAATTTTAATTGTATGAGGGAGAACTGTCACCTTTGTCATCTCGCTTTCAAATTTAGAATTAACCATATTGTAAGTAGCGCCAGAATCCAATATAAAATAATGTTTATAATCAGTATGAGCCTGAATTACACTCAAAGCTATAAAACTAAATGCTGAGTGATCTGGCTGACCACGTCCATGTTGGAAACGATTTCCTCTTCGGCCACAGTATCCTCTTGTACGCCTATTGTAGTGGTTATTTGTTCTATAGTTATCGTAACTGTAATTGTTTGAATGAGAGTTAACTTTAAAAGAGATTTCTGCACTCGTTTTATTTTTAATTGTTAGTTCCTCATCCAACAATTTTGCTTTGACCAATTCCAAGTTTATATTGATATTTAATGTCTCAATCGCTGTAATTACATATTCATATTCTTCATTTAGAGATAGCAATAAATGGCATATTTTATCTTCTTCGGATATTTTTGAGTCTAAACTCTCGAGTTCTCGTATTATCTGGCCAAAGACTTGAAAATGGTCTTCCAGTTTTTGGTTGTGTAACAGTTTTAATGCTAACAATTTTCTTCTCACAGTAAGTTTGGTAAAAACACTTTTCCTCTGGACGACACTACTAAATTTTTCGAACATTTCTCTAGCTGTCAGGGCGTCTTGTATATGATGCAAATGTTTGTCAGTAATATATTGATTGTATGATCGTGGATTTTGCAATTGCGTTGCATTTTACTAAATCGGTATCTGCTTTAATTTCTGCATGATTTTTGTCTAAAACGTGCAGAGCTTGCTTTTCTTCCAATATGGCGCGCACTCGAAATTTCCATGCTACATAATTATCACCACGTAACTGTGGGAGATGATTTATACTCACCTGAGCACTCATTTTCTGCCCATAACCATTGTTGGGTGCTCTTCTATAAACGAAATAAATCATTTCGTACAATAAGTATTTTATTATTAGTTTAAACAGATAACGGCATTTTATCCACGTGTCAACAAAAAGAACAACGTAAATTTTCAAAGCATAAGGCAGAGACAATTTTATATTCAACACAAGCGACCGTTTGACAGCCGCACGATCACACCAAAGTTGATCACCCTTGTGGCGGCGTTCCTCGAAGCAACATCGTACTCGACGTATTCCGAGTGTACCGACGATTGGTTCGATTATCTTATTTGGCTGTTTTATTGACATTTGTCATTTTGTTCCACTGTTAGTTAAACATTGTTTTGATTTAAAAATAAAATTTCTTATGGACTTTGTTAATGTTTTTTTATGTTTTCCTGCTTCTGTGCATAAGTTTCTCTATGAATATCAAGAAATGAAAGATCTTGTGACATCTTTCACAGGCAATCCATTCAAATGTCAAACTACTTTTACTAAGACTTTTCAGTTCCTATTTACTTTATCAGTTTTTCTTTATTTAGTTTCTAGAATATGCTATTTACAAAACCTGCAGTCTTTCTTCCTCGAATCTCTAGAGTTAGAACCGTATATAACAAGTCCAGATCCGGATCAAGGGAAGTCGTAGGGTTCGGTGTAAATGGCTCGAACGCCTACAAGGACGATGCTCATTTCCCTTTTCCTTCTATCAGGTTTCAGGAAACCAAAGGAATGATAATTGTACGTTTATCATCTTAGTTAAGATATTGACATTGCTTCACAAACTTATAGTTAGCAAGCCTGTAAAGATAAACTCATCCTTTATTCTTATTGCATGTTTATAGTCGCTTAAGCTAAAAGAATTGGGCGACTGGAAAATGTTGTGTCAAGAAGACAAGAAGATGCTGTACCGAGTTTCGTTCTGTCAGACCTTCTCCGAGTTTCAACATCCTACAGGGACGTGGCGTCTTGTCTTGGGCGTGGTTTTATTTGTTTCTTCTTGGGGATTTTGGTTAATGATTTTTACTGAATATTACGGTGAGTACATTTGCTGGGGGTCTTGTTTTTAATAGGAGCAGTTCTAAATCTTTCTTTCTTTATTTGGCTTTCCATGTTGATATTGTAGTGCGGGATACTCCTCCCGAGAGCTTGGAAGAGTTCAACCAGAAGGAGCAACTCCGACGGATGCTCGAAATCAGAGCGAATCCCATCGACGGTATCTCATCATATTGGAACTATGATCGTGAAGATTGGAGGGTAAGATTCACCATTGTTCATAAATTATGAAACAGGTTTATTTAGAATTCGCAAGTTTCTTAAGTCGACGCATACGAGACTGCGACAAACGTTTGCGAAAATCTTTTTCTTGGTGTGGAAAGCGAAGAAATGACCGATAGATTTTCCCTTTAGTGCAATTGTCAACCCTTCAACTGAAAATGGCAAATAATCCGTGTATTTTGGAGATAGTTCTTTGTGATTGTTAGTAGTTTGTGAAGATTTAGTTATTATTTGTGTTATGTTTCAGTGGGTGAAGATCACGAAATTGGACGACTAGATTCACAATGCTTAACAACGATTACATGTCGTTGAAAATAGGTTCTTGTGAATAAAATGGACTGTAGATGATTACCATATGAATTAATATACTTAATGTGATGATTGTTACGCATGGTACAAGTTCCCTGTATGCCGCATTTGCTCGGTGCTCTTTTCAGCAGGTATTTCTGGCAACACTGGCACACAACCAATAATCTTAAAGATTATAGTTATGTTTTACTGAGTCGACGACACATCAAAACTTACCAAATTGGATGGTAGACCAGTAATGTGTGGAAAAGGGACATTCCTGCGGTCGGTCGCTTTAATGTAACGTCTTGAAGTGACCACTTATTTATCTTAATATTAAGCTCTTGAAGCCGTATGCGCTTGAAAGAGCTATAGTGGAAGTCTCAGTTGGCAAAACCGTCGGTCCTAAGATAGGCACTCTTCCAATATTAGTCTTATTATTTAACTCACTACTCGAGCGTAGATGGCTGACATAATTTATTGCATCTATTTTAATAGCTTAAGCCTAATCGTTCCCGGAGTAAAATTTTGTAATAAACAAATTACTTTTGCTACGTTCTATATTGTTTCCTAGGACCATTTAGTTTTTTATAGTTTGTACCGGCACTGTACTGTGTAAGTGTTCAATAGAACATTCTATTTGTACTATTTATTGTTCCATTAATAAAATGTTAATCATTTTGTGTTTTTATTTAAATGTAATAAAATAATATTAATTAATTTCATCTGCAAAAATAAGAATCCAAAACGCTTTAAGTTTAGTTAAAGATCTGCCAAAGTTCTCCAATCGAAGTTTTCGGATTTAGTAGTAGGTGAAACTGCAGAACCTTGGAACACCGTTGTAAAATTGCCTGCTTAACTGTGTTTTACCGGATATGTTACGGAGAGTTGTTCCTAAACAATGAAAGAATGATTGTTTTATATATGGTTCTATCATAATAAGCTTCTTCTGAAGCGTCGCAAGTATTGATACCTAAATGTACGCTGATTAGATCCATTTGCTCTTCTTGATTGGCTCTTTTTGACATAGGTATATATTTTCTTCACTTTCGGTGATAACAATTGCTCATTCCTCAGCAGCAATGGCATTATTTTTTTCAGTTGCTAACGTCATAATGCCTTACATATAGTAATAACGTACACGTACATACTCATAACCCTTTATCGCGGGTGCCATGGGCACACAAATAGGCTTCCTCAAATTACACCCAAACTCACGAGAGAAATGTAGACCATACAAATGTTTCTCCCAGCCTGGGGATCATGGAACCGTTCGGCCACGGCCTTTTTGAACTTCAAAAGCATGGAAATCATAATGGAAATGGAGGAAAGTAAAAAAAGAAATAATATTAAATAAAAAAAAATATATTCTTTTATACATATACATATATCTGTGATAAAAAAAATCACTGCCCATTTTTTTTTCTTGTGCATAACATTCAGTAATACAACGTTATTGAAATATAATTTTTAAAAATCCCTATTTTTTCTGTTTTAAAATGCTAATATTTCCCAATAATTTATAACGCATGGTCATAAAACTCGAGCGATTGACGCCGCTGCTGCCGTGTTCGGTGCCAATGAGTCTGTGCGACGGCGATGGCGCCGGCGCGTTGCACGTCGGTTGCTGTTCCCGGCGAAGCTCGTGTTTAATTGTGTAACAATATATTTTCATCGGGAACATTACGAGTGATTCGTATTTTATCGAAAGTGGTTGGAGTCTTCACGAAGCCCGAAGACGGTGGACAGCGTATTCCGTCTTCGAGCTCAGAGCTTGGTGGATATAAAGGTTAAGCATTAAGTCAATGGGTTAAGCACAAATTTAGCGGCAAATTAACGGCTTCTCGACCACGGCCAGTTGACGTTATCGCTTCACGCACGCGGAAGTGGCCGGCAGCGAATGTCCGTAGAAGTAAAGGATAAAATGCAGTGTGCGACAAATTGTAAGGAGTGAGTATGAAGACAGATGGATAGGCCGCGGCGGACCAGTACCTTGATAGAGCTTCTCCGGCTCTATCAATAAATGAGAAACCTGATTTTAATATTTTAACAAAGGTTTTTATTAAAATATATTATAACGTGAAAAAAAAATACAACGACATGAAGAGAGTTCTACGAAGTAACAAAGTAACTTTCAAAAAGAATAACTCTTAATGTCACATCGGCCAGTATGTAAAAGATTGCACATCAATGCTCTGACATACCCTGGTCTCCCTGGGCACCTGACGTACTCCGTAGGTCAATGACTCCGTAGGTCAATGACTCCGTTTCATTTTTTCGTGAGGTGAATGAAGTTAAACACCGTGTGTATGTCAACTCATAAATTCGCGCTCTGACTGCGCCCACGTTGCTATGGCAACGGCATCTATTAATCGTCCTGTTCGGGTGTCAATATTATTCACAATTATTATTTAATTATTTATTTATTTCTACTATAAAGTATGCTCCTTAAAAATGGTAATTGGTTTCTTTTGTAAGGAATTGCACGAATTACATTTATTTATTTATTTATTTATTTATAAGGAAACATTCTTGTGGATTTACGCTGCGCCAAAGCATCCAACAAGACATGAAATTAACTTAAAGATTAAGTAAAATTTATATACATATATCATACAAGATACGAAATAATAAAGAAAGAAAGGAGATAAATACGGACTACTTTACAAAATTACAATCTAATCGAACGCGACTTGAGGCCGCTGAGAGGACACGCCGTAGTGATTGTCGGCAAACAGACTATGGAAACCAAAGGACTTGTTATATTGACCTAAATAAATCAGACGTTATGTGTATATGATGCATTTTTTGTATTTTGCCCTGAGAACCGTTTCCGGTTGTCAAATATTATAATGAATTATTCGCATGAATTGTAATGAAATGGACAAAAATATTGACAGTGAGAACAATTAAGTATTGATAAAAATGCGTTGCTGCAGCATTTAGGGGTGCGGCAGTAGAAAAAACGGAAATCAACCGAATGTTACATTATACCGGTGTTATTTTTCTGCCTATAAATCATACAATAGCCCAAATATCTCATGTAATTAGACTCATTTAAATAGTTTATTCATAAGTTTTGCTGAAATTTGCTTTGGTTTCTTTATATTGCCTGTTTGTTAGCATATTTTGATGATTGTCGATAACGATTATTTTGAGATAGTGTTGTTCTTGTAAGCAGACATATTATCGATATTCTGTTATTAAAACAATTCACTACGAGGTTTTTATTATTTCATTATTATTTTTTTTAAAGTTTATTTACAAATGAAAAAAGAAATAATGGTTGGAAATTATAGGACTGCCGAACATAAACATTAGGCCAAATACCATCTTCGTTTGTTCGCTCCATTTTGAAGAGTCAAATTTTAATTGAACTTTGAATGTAACTAGATTACATGATAATGCCATTGCATCTTTACATTTATTGGTAAATAACTTTATAATTAATTTTGATTAAAATGGCTCATTACTTGCCTAGTAATAATAGCCCAGTATTAATCATACTTTGATTATAGTAAACTACACAAATTTGCAAACATAAAAAACAGTTTCAACATTCAATTCATATATTTGCGTGTCGATATTGAGTTATCTATGATTATGGTACAACGCCACATGTGTGGTACAATTTTGATAGTAAGTACGTTTATTCCGTAGATAGGGCAGCCCCTTTCCTTTATTTTTTTCCACCCTCTAAGCGGCAAACATATCGGCCTCCTTACATGAAATACAAAACGCTCAATGTTTTATATTAACATTAACCATAGATTTAGTATTCATTAACAATAATAAATGAATGCATTTTTTTCTAAGGGCGCTCCTTCACCGAATCTTCATTACAAACTACCACTCTCACCGGCGAGTATTCGCCTGCGAATATTCGTTTTTGAGCATTACATTACAAACTGCCTCCTTCACAGGCGAGCATTCGCCTGTAATGTAACATGTAAGATTCGATTAGGCTGCGATTCCACCAGAGATGTGCAAGGCAGCAAGTCGTGCATGCGAGTACCTACCTGAGAGCCTGCGAAAGCCAGGCGTGTCCGCGTGTGCCTTTGAATGCCCGCGAGAGCCGGGAGTGCCTTTGAGTGCGTTTGAATGCTTTTGAGTGCCCGCGAGTGCCTTTGAGTGCCAGTGAGTGCCTTTGAGTGTTTTGAGTGTCTTTTAGAGCCCGCGAGTGCTTTTTGAGTGACGTTGAGTGATTTTGAGTGCGTTTCAGTGCCTTTCAGTGCGCTGAGTGCCTTTGGGTGTCTAGAGTGCCTTTGGCACTAAATGGTACTAAAAGTTATTAAAAGGTACTAAACGGCACTGAAAGGCACTAAAAGGTACTCGCGGGCACACAATCTCACTCACAGGGGTTCAAAGGCACTCAAAGGCATTCAATGGCAATCGCGGGTACTCAAAGGCACTCGCGGGCACTCAAAGGCACTCGCGGGCACTCAAAGGCACTCGCGGGCACTTAAAGGCACTCGTTGGCACTCAAATGTACTCGCAGGCACCTAACTTAATTAAAGACTTGAAAATATTTCCACTATATCTGGTGGAGTTGCAGCGTTACAATCTGAACAGATTGTTACGTTACAGGCGAATATTCCTCTCCCTCAACGACTGTAATGCTCACTTTACATTACAATAGCATGTTCGCGGTGAAGGAGCGCCCTAATAAATTATAAATATAATTATAAAATATATATAACAACATATTCCGGATGTTGTTGCGGCTGCCGCAATTCTGTAGCGCGTCAGGAATGTTCGCCGATGCCCATGTAGACGGATTTGCCGCCATAATGAGAAAAAGAGCGGCATCCTTGATGCGCAGAGTTCGTGACAGCGGTAATAGCATTGTGGGTATTGTTGCTGGCAGGGTCCAGGGTTCATTTTTGAACACTGGACTAAATTACATGTATGTCCTAAACCCAGCACGTATTTATGAATTTGTATCTTCTAACACTAGTATGTAAGTTTTTGTTTGTTATACTAACCAATATGGATGAAATCTGAATTAAAGTATGTGAATTTGAATTTGAATAAAGGATCACGTGAAGACAGGAGTTGACGGAGGAAGAAGGATTAATCAAATATTCGTCTCATATCCTCTTTGCTGCATAACTTCTACAAAAACAAAAAACATAAAGTCACGGAAATTTTGACAGCGTCGTCACAAAAAGTCAAGGGAAACAAAAGAAAATTGGATGGAAATAATGCTTGCTTTTAGCAGGCGTCTGCCTAAGTTGCCCTTGGTTTACACAGCCAGAAGTGTATATGGATGGTGCAGAGTCGGTAATCGAGATGTGGTGGGCCACGGGGTAAATGGTACTGTCACTTACAAAGACGACGCCCACTTTCCATTCCCAGCCGTCAGGTTCATGGAGAACAACCCTATTGTTTGTGTAAGTATTCAGGTATTCAAATTTTTGCCAGTTAATCTGAAACTAGACAACTCTTCCAGCATTTTGAAGGCCTTATTGTTAAGAAAATGACACTGAAAGCTTACTCAGAACTAGCGAATTAATTGGGGGCAGGATTTTAATATTGTATAGTTTCGCGTTTCTCTTAAACCCATTTGGTTGGACTGAACGAAAGGCGGCACTATGAAAACTGGACACGTTTTTTGTTAAATTTGTTTTTTCGGATAGATTAGGCTTAAATAGGTAAACATTTTTCGTCGTTATAAATTTTTCAGATGGAACGTATAGTCCGTCAGCGTTAAAAAAATTTACAGTTTTATTAATTTTGTATGAAAAAACATTTTACTAAATTTGACCAACTTTGCTGTCCCGATTTTTTCTTTGAATACAAGGAAATGATCCTGAACCTGAGTCGATCTGCACTAAAAACAAAAAAAGAAATTTTTAAGGGCAACTCAGACTTGGCCAAAAAAATTTAACTACTATGCCAAAATTGTTTTTACAAAAAAGGCTTAATGTAAAAAATTGAACAATTGTTTCGGATCTAAATCGTGTTTTTCAAACAAACAAACAAACGTTTCGGGCTCATTACGGCTGACTGTCAGCCGTGACCCCATGGCGTATATTTGTTTTTTCATCTCATGATGAAAAAACAACGCCGTTTGGATCGGAAAAAGTAGTTTAATTTCCTATATACTGTTATGGACAGGCGTGTCGCTTACCATCAGGTACATGACTTGTTCGTCCCGTCACTTGATATTATAAAAAAAATGTGTAACATTCGCGAAAACCTAAGAACTAAATGTAAATATAAAAGACTAAATGGTTCCTGAGACAATTTCCGTGTATTTGCTACAGTCTCGGACTTTCCCATACCGTCTCAGTTAAAAAAAAATACACCATTTGCTAACATATGGCAGTCTTAGAGCGGATCCTCCTAGCCCATTTAACGCGCTGTCTAACTCATTTCCCTCCACTTCTTGCATCATCAGCAGACAACCACGACTATATATTTTACCTGGTTTTTCTTCAATAAATAGCATTTTACTTTATAGATACTTACATACATACATATATAAGCTCATGCCCTAGTCCCACAAGAGAGACCACGGAACGCACTTTAGTCTATCCTGACACAACTCTCGAGCCTCACATACATCAACTACCCTTGCCTTTTTGACGACATCACTGATGTGGTCAATGTAAGTACTTCTAGGACGTCCTCTTAAAACCCTTCCATCCACATTCGAATCACACATCTGTTTGGTAATTCTTCTTATATCTATCCGCTCTTCAGGCCCAAACCACCTCAACATTACTTTCTCTATTCTATTCACTACATCCTCTTTCAAGCCACATCTTTCACGTATTATTATATTCTTCACTCTATCACTCAACTTTATTCCACAAATTATCCTCAAAGATCTCATCTCCGCAGCATTAATTCTATTTTTATGCTTCTTCTGCCATACCCAACTCTCACTAGCAAACGTCAATGTAGGAACCAGTAAAGCATTGTATGGACATGTGTGCTTTTTGAAATAAGATGTTGCTCCCCATTAGACCATTTATGGCTTCATTTACTGCGCTTCCCCTTCGTACCCTTCTTCAATGTCCTCATTAAACTTTTCATCTCTTGTAAACACACTACCTAGATACTTGTACTTAATGTTTGGGTAGTTCTAATCACGATGGTAGTATTTTGACAAAATTCTGGTACATAATTTTTTCTTCTATTTTAGTCGTAAATTAGCATGTTTGTAAAGATGTCCATAATGTCGTGTTAAGAAGTCAAAGTTAAATACTTTATTTAGTTTTAGATAAGCAGCAAACACGTAGTACTTTAATTTCTCAGTCTCAATAAATCACTTTAGTAATATTAGTGTGTAGGTAAGAAAAGTACTTAACTAAAACGACGACTTGCTAATTATTTAAAATACTTGCTAGTCAGTTTGAACGGGATCATATTTTTATAAAATCCTGATGTTTATAGCTTACATATAACAGAAAATGCATTAGCCTTGTACTTGGTTTTCAGTCGCCTACCACATACGTGAACTGAGATTTCAACAATCAATCTGTTGACCCACCACAATTTATCTTCTGTCTAATAGGTTTAGGCACAAAGGCGGTAATTGGCTGTTATGTCTATACTAAAAATACCAACCATCTGAGGTTGGTAATTGACAAAAACACTCACCAGGGAACTGATAGCTTGTCCGATCGCGGCACAATTGCTTACCTCTGAGGCACCGCACTGATGAACTGAACGCGAGGCGTGTCGTCACTTGCGATTTGACGTGACCTTCACGAGACGTGCTACGATCAGTCGGAATAGCAAAATTGCAAGAAAATAGTCCTATTTGTGATAATTTTCGAGTCACATTTTTTCCAGGGTCTTGTCCTGATACAAATTGCAGCGACAAAAGTACTTCGATGTAAAATAATATATTTTCTTGTACACAATTGCTCATTTCTTGACTTTAAAATAGTAAGACAACTTCTAATTGATATTTGGTAATTCAGCTTTTAATTTCATTACGGAGTTGCTAAACGCCAAGGGGCTGGAGTTTTCAAACTTCAAAGGACAACTTTTTGTAAAAAAATGATTCCGAGCGTTGCCCGTTTCAGTGACTAGATGGTTAATGATGTAAATAAAGGTGTAGATATAAAAATAAGTGATTTAAGGAAGAAATTTCGCATGATATGTGTCGGGCCATCGATCCGTCATGATTATA